ACACCATAGCTAGAAATCTAGGGATCATCCTTTCCTTCACTTCTACGCCAACTTGATAACCAAGTCTTGCCATGCCTAACTGCCCCCACATCTACCTCTGTCTTGGTTCAGAAACTCGTTATCTCTCTGACTGAGACAAACGCAGTAGCCTGCTACCTGGCCTCCCTGCCTCCTGTCTTACTACCCTCATCCAGTCCTCATAAAACAGCCAAAATGAGTTTTCTAGAATGCCAACTGCTCAACCATCTTCCTACTCTTTAATAGCATTCCATTGCCTTCGGGATGAAGTACAAACTCCTTATCATGACATGACTGCCCCGCCTCTGACCCTGGCCCTTGTTCCTTCCTCAGCTATCAGTTCTTCCCCCTCATCCAACCCTCTTCCTACCCCTCCCTTCTCCATTCTCTCCTGCCTCCCACTCCCCAGAAATACCTGCTCATCTTGGAAAGAACAATGCTATCCAAGTAGAATTGGTCAAACTCTGGTCACACATGTCTTGTGCCCCTTTATCCTGCCATAGTACCTCATGTATTTATAGCAACTTGAGAAAAAGGCCCATATTTCATCTGTCTCTGTTTCTACAGATCCTGGGACATGGAAAGTACTCAGTAAGTGTTGGTTGATTGAATAAATACATGAACAGAATAGAATAAAACCCCCAAAGGGGCCACAACAGGGCTATGGCAGTGGAGATTCTGCCCAGGGTTCAAACTTGGAAACTCTTCTAGGGAAAGGAAATTGGCCCAGGATGAGCATCTTCCCAATGTCAGGCACTGTGCTGGGCTTTTAAAATATGCCTTTAGTTCTGAATGCTGACCACAGCCCAATCTATGGATGGGGATGCAGAGACTCAGAATAAGTAACTTGTCCAAAGACACAAGTTAATAGATGGCAGAGATATGATTCAAACCCAGTCTTCCTGGCTCCATAGTCTGTACTCTTTCAGCCATGTCTACTTGAGGTTCCTATCCAAAATCTGTCCTGTCAGCTGTCACTTCCTACTACACTTGCTCAACTCTAACACAGCCAGTTCCTCATCCTCTGGTTTTACCTAATCCTGACTCCACATTTTCCTTTATCCAGCCTGGGCCTAAGGTCAGGCCAGAGGGCCCTGAGCCAGGGTCAGGATTCACACTCTGCTTTGTCTGACTCCACTTTCTTTGCTCTCTCCAGAGTCACAATGAAAGAGACATATATGCATAGTCCACTAACTTCCCCCAAGTCCCCAAGAAGCCCTGACAATCATAATTGCTTGCCAAGGGGAGGGATTTAGTAACTTCTTAGGTCTGAGGAAGGCAATATGCTCTCTAGTTTCACAGAGAGAGAGCTCTGACCGAAGCAGCAGGCCAGAGCTCCTGAGGTACAAGTGACTGAGGTTGGACAGAGGGGGGACTTCATAATGAATGAGGACAATGATAGCTTGAAAGGAAGAGGGAAGCTTGTGGTCTCTTTCAGTAGGATATATATTGGGGTGCAAGGGCCTAACTCAAAACTCACAGGTTATGCTCATTTGTACAGAATCTTCTCAGTCCTGCGGGCTGAGGAGCTCCCTCCGCCCTTGCAGCACAGGCGGTGGGGTTCCAGGTTGGACACCAGAGCAGCTGAAAGTGGGGTGGGGGGAGGAAGGAAGAAGGAAGGAAGGGAGGGAGAAACCAAGGAAGGGAAGGAGGGACGAGGAGGGAGCAAGGCAGGGGCAGTGTGCACCCGTCTCCTTGGAAATGCCTCCCTGGCCCCGCCCACATCTGTAGGCGATTGTGATGTCATACATGGAACCTCCAGACTCTTTCAGGCCCTTAGAATCAATGGAAACGTCCGCCCCAGTCCCGGCGACAGGGTGAACACTGGACCATTGGCTCCAGCCAGGCCCCACACTTCTTGGGCGACAGTCCGGGACACCGGCTGCGGTACATTGATGCCTTCCAGCCGTACAAACAGGAGTTTCAACTCTGGCTCCAGCCAGACTGCCCCAGCCAAACCCTGAAGGCTCCTCTCCAGGTCCTCAGAACCCCAGTCCTCAATCATTGGTTCAATGAGCCGGTCTCCAGACTCTAACTCCGCCTCGGCCCAGCCCAGCCCTTGGCCCCGCCTCCTTCGTCAGGCTCTCTGGTTCTACACCTTCCTTGGGGCCTGAGGCCAGCCCCTCGGCCATGGCCCCAGCTCAAAGCCCTCCCCTAATCTGCCCCGCCTTCTCCTTACCCCTGCTGCTTTCATCCCAGATGTCGGCATTGTCCTTAGACTTTTCCTTAGTCCACCTTTCAACCGTCGTCCTAACCCACATCTCTCTCAGCCCAGTTCTTCCTCTCTACAAGACTTCCTCGCAGAAGTCCAAACGTGAACCTCTGTTTGGCCGAGCCAACTGTAAACCCCAATCTCAGTTTCGCCTCCGTTCAGTCTTCAACTCCGCCTCATGCTTGCCCAATCCCTCCACCCACCTCCCCCCGCCTCCGCTCTAGGCTGCGTTGTCTTCTTAGCCCAAGTCTAAGCTTCAGCGGCACTCTTCATCCGGGGTACCCCAACTCCTTCCAGGCACCTCCCTCCCTGTCCCACTTTAGCCTTAGTACCTCCCCTTTACCTCGGGCCTAAACCTTAGGTCGGTCGCTCAGGCCCAGCCCTCACTTCCATCCCTAGTTCCTCTCCAGACCTTCCCCCAGTTCTTAGTCCTACCCTCCAGACTCTAGCCCCGCCTCTAGCCCCGCCCCATCCATTCTCTCAACCGCACACTTCAGCAGGCTCCCCGCCCCTCCCAATCCTTCCGAACTTTGCCACGGCCCTCAGCCCCTCCCCCAATCTACACGTGAACTTCTCCAGCTGCTTAGGGAGCTATCGCCTCCAACCTCTGCCCCACCAACCCAGCTCTTCTGAGGTTCCTCTTGCCCTGGCGGGAGGCCAGGCTCACTCACTGTCTTTCTGCCCGCAGGCCCGGCGGATAAGGACTTGATGTCGGCTCCCAGAACCCTTGTGGCGTCCACCCCTAGAGCCCCTAACCAGCGTTTCCTCCTAGTCCCCCATGGGGTACCCAGACTCACAGAAATACTGCCCACTAAAGATGTCAACGTAGAGCTAGAGTCTTGGTCGCTCTTTCCCAAAATAGTTATAATAGTTAAGGTTTTTGAGCTAGTGTTTTGATTTCCGTCATGCAACCTAATGTGTCTCCATAGGCTTGCCCAGAGGGAACAGGAGCAACTGCATTCATAGTAACCTACTACACACACCCCTCGCATCGCACACCCTTCACACCCTTAAGCACAACATACACACTACACATGCATGTATCACATACGTAGCGCACATAAAAAAATACCACACAACATGCACATGCCACTCACAGACACCACCCAGAACACAAACCCATACCCCTGTTCCCACATTTTACACAGCACTAACACTCCATGGCAATATTGTGGTGCAGGCTTCACACACACACACACAGTTCCATGCTCTGTGCAAGGCAAGGAGTGAGGAGTGCAGTCCTGTGAAGGAACAGAGATGAACAATTCCAGGAGAGTATGAAAAATATTAAAGCCGCATCACCAACATTCCACACCAGGCTCCAAGGTCAGGTTATGCCTCATAGGATGGAAAAGAGAGGGTGGTATTTAAAATGTTCTCCTGCAGAGTCATCATGGGCCTCTCCTGCTGCTGCTTAGTGTCAACATTCACTTTCATCCAGACCCAGTAACCAGTAACCTGAGTTACAGTAGAACTACGGCCCAGACCACCAACTCTTGGAACAGCAGAAGAGGGGAAGCCAGAAGGGGGAGTGTGCAGAAAAGCTAACCCACCCAGAACAGAGTAGCTGGGTGAGAATGGAATCAGGCATAGAATGGACAAAGCACTTGCTGACTTGGGAGCCAAGATCTGTGTTCTAATTGTGACTCTCCATGGCCTTCCAGGATGGCACCAGGACATGTCTCTCCATTGTTGGTCCAGATGTCTGAGATACTTTCAGCCAATCTATATAGCTCTATATGGGTCAGGTGTCAAGAGTGAGCCAAGTTCTTAGTCACTCTTCTCTCAAATAGTTATTATAATAGTTAAGGTTTTTGAGCTCTATTTATTAGTGCTGTACCTTATTTCATCCATAAAACCTCATCAGTATTATTAGCCTCATTTTACAGATGAGGAAATTGAGACAGGATAAATGATTTCCCTGAATGTCCCAGGATGGACAGCGAGGATTTAAATGCAAGTCCTCCTCAGAACATGTCTTTTTTTTTTTTAAGAGAGAAAAATATACATCTTATTTTTTATTCCATTTAGTTCTCCATGTTTTAAAATGTAAAAAAGATACCACTTAATTTTATGTTCATATCACTAATAGGTATTATATAGCACATCTTTTTTTTTTAATTCCTCCCCACACTTTCACCTCTGACCTACAAATGTTGCCGTCTCCCCTTAAGAACTGGATCTCTGAAGGCGGGGCATCTCCTCCCTCTCGCTGGGGCGCCTGGGGGGGCCTGACGTGCCCAGGGAATGGACTGTGGCTTCACTAGGGCAGGAACCCAGGACCTTCTTCGGCATGTAAAGCAGATGTACTAAATACTACTCTATGGAACCACCTCCCAAGATAGCACATCTTCTGAGTAAGACCCCCGCCCCTACCCTCCGTGGGCTTTCTGGTCAACTCAAAAAGTATCCAAAACTCAATCACTTCTCACTGTGCGCCCTCGGAGAAGTATTTTTTAAAGAGACAGCAGAAAGGGTGAAAAAAAAGAAAAATATTATCCAATGGTGGAAATCTGGGTATAAGCACCAAGTAGGATGCATTTGGGGGAAAAGGACAAAAGGAAAGTGCTCTCAAAGCCAACAATTCAGATCTCACCCAGTGAGGGTCCTGTGCAGCTTCCTAAACCTGGTCCCTGAGCTCCTAGCTTGCCTGAGGCTTGCCCAGGGGCCAGGGATGGCCAGCATCCCAGCAGGAGACTCCAGTCCCAAGACTGCCCTATAGCCTTGCCATTCCACACCCCTCATCTCTAACAAAGAATTCCAACCCCCACACTGCTAGAAGAAATTTTAATGAGTAAGGCACAGTGTGAGGCTAGGATCATTAAGCATCCTCATACCCAAAAGCCCAGCAGGCTGAGCAAAAGTAGCAGAGACAACTTCTCCACCACTGAGCACCCTGGAGAGGCCCTGGAGGAGGGGGGCATCCAGTCTTTGGCATGGTGCCTAGGAGCAGGAAGCGACTAGCATGGTCCCAATTACCCCTCTGGGGGTTCTGCCACCAAGGGGCAGCTCTTTGGTCTTGAAAAATAGTCCGTGCAAATGTCCATGGGTAGAGCTCTGGGGGAGTCAAGGTGGCACAGTGCCCCAAAGCTGGGGCAGTGTCTAGACAGTCCCTCACCCCTCATGGGCAACACGTGGGCTTCTTCTTGTTCGCAGTTAAGTAGAGGTTGTTGTCATCACTGTTGATGCCTGAAGAAGGGCGGGAAATATGTAAAGCAGGGACTGGAGGTTCCCCATGCTCTCTGCCACCCTCACCCAGGCGGGCACTCACGGACAACATCCCCAATGCGCCGGGCCCCTGATTTCTCCAGCTCAGCCAGCACGTTGGCCTCAAAGGTCAGTGCTGCCACACGGAAAAAGAATTCCCGGACATTTTCACCTGACACAGGGAATAGATAGGTGCTCAGGGGGAGTTGTAGGTCTAGGGTCATTGGGCACAGCTGGAGGTGTAGGAGTGAGAGGCAAGGGAGGCGGGAATGCCACAGCAGAAGGCCTGATGCCTCTTACTCACCAGTGAGAGATGAAACTGCCCAGTATTCAGCCTTCATCTCTTGGGCCACCTTGAGTGCATCTCTCTCCATTAGCACATACTGAGCAGGAGTCTTAGGGAAAGTCAGAGTCAGATGGGGAAAAGTTTCTTCACCAAGTTGGGAAGTCCCCCACACCAGCATACTCACACTCAAGTCCTTCTTGGAACCCACAAGGAAGAGAAGCACGCTGGATGGGTCATTCTCCCTGAGTGCATCAGCTAGCCACTGCCTGCCACAGATGGTGACAGTAAGGGACAAGTGAGTTGGACAGGCTCCTTCTACTGACACTCATATGCCCAATTACCCTTTCTCTGCTCCTAGATGGA